GAGGGGGGAGGGGGCGAGGGGATGGGAGGGAGAGAGGGGGAGGAGGGGAGGGAGGGAGGGAGGAAGGAAAGGAAGGGCACAAGGAAGGAAGGAAGGAAGGCAAGGAAGGAAGGAAGGAAGGGAAAAGGAGAGAGGGAGGGAGGGAGGGCGAGAAGGAGGGAGCGGGAGGGAAGGAAGGAAGGAAGGATGCCGAAAGGAGGAAGAGCGAGAGAGAGAGAGACACACACACACACACACTCTCACACTCACTTCCAACAGGCCTGAGAAAGACAGAAGATTGATCTCCTCAAAACTATGTGGTTAACTGAATTCAAAACTAAATTTTTTTAACTATTCTATTTATCTAACTGACCAAAATTAATTTGGTGGTTTCATATTTAACTTTATAAAATAAACTGAGTTTTAATTTTTAAAAAATTTGTTTCACTTAACGTTCTGATTAGACTTACTCCCATTTGCCACTATTCGCTAATTTTAATCTCATAGCTGAATGTAAATTTGTAAGCACTTCTATCCCTCTCCTGTTTAAAAAACTTTATGCGTTTCAATGTGTACATCATTATTTCCCTTTACTAAATAGATAATCATTACTGTCTACCACAGTGAAGATTCAGTTTACATATACTACAAGTTTCTTTGGGGGGAAAAAAAGGTTGTACCAAAACTAACAAATTCGGTTGACTTCTTGCCATCAAACAAATCCAGTGTTTTTAATAGCTCTTTTTAATAGAAAATTTCTCCTTGAACATCTATATTCCAAATATTCCTTATTCTGCCCAAGAATGATAAAAGAAATATCAATATTTGACAAACTGATAAACTAAAGTATATAAAACAAATGACCTCAGACTTAACACCTTTGAAGGACCTATTCTCAAATAACTGCAAATTTCCAATTTAATCACTTTCATTTTCTAATTCAGTGCCATCTTTAAGTTCTCCATATCCCTCAGGCTATGACACCCTAAATATATGTCCTACAAAAACCTTAATCAGTGAAAAACACAGCAATAATTTGTGGCCACTTAAGGAGAAGCAACTCCATTCTAAACTATCCAAGCTTGAGGCATCTCTTTTTGCCCCTAATTTTTGCTGTCCTAAGCAAGACTACTTTACAAACAGGCCTGGTGCCTAAACACGGTAAAAGGCTGAGAAAATGACTGGGAAACCAAATCCCAGTTCACTCAGTCTAGAAGGCAGCACCACTGTTCTGGAGTGTTCCTAATTATATACATCTAGTGGGCAAGCATAGTGGAAAGGGCTAGAACTCTGAGGATGACTGCAAGGCATTTCAGGAAGACTGGATAGAATCCTCACTCCAATCAGACAATATCACCAGTGGCTGGGTACCCCGCTGTATATGGAGGCTGGGGAAACTCACCCACCATATCCTAACTTTGTCTCTAACTTTATTCTAGATAGCCATTTATATGTAGTAAATTGTATCATTTACTTACATTAAAATAACTATCAGTTTTTTTGCCTGTATCAGTTGTGGGGTCTTCGTGTCAATCATATCTTTGTCTCACTGTGGCAACTTTATAGATTATTGATTATATCATTAGCCTATATGGCTACCAAAAAATGGCTGGAAAACAAAACATTAAAAATTGAAATCTGTCCATATTTCCTGCTACTCTAGAAAACTTGTCTTATTTTTGTTAGCTGCTCCTCCACTTGTACAGAGTTGGAATATTAATGCAGAGGATATTTCTTTGGTGTCTAGGCAAAAACACCCATAAAACTGAGTTCATATCTCAGCTCTGCCACTAACAAGTTATGTCATCTTAACAAATAACATAATCTTATCCATTTCATCCAAACCACCCAATGGAGGATAAAATATTTATTTCACAAAGTTACTACAGTACAAAAAAATGTTGGCTAAAAAAGAAAACTTCAGTATTTCACTCACTTACCATAGTCTCACATCCTCCCAGCTTTCTCATATCTTAACTACCACTTTATCTCCTCTCTAACCTCCTGAGATTTCGGATTTAATCTGTTTAGGGTAGGGCTCCCCAGATGACTGCTATGCAGCAAGCATGGAGAACACTATCTATTCTTCGATCACCCCATTTTCTTACACTCTTTCTTTTCTTTCCAGACTGTGCCCTGTTAGTAACTCCTGAATTGTCTCTCAGCAGCATCCTTAAATTCCCTGAAGCCCCATCCCTCCAAGACACTCATTCATTAAAACCCAAACCCTCCATATCAAAGCCATAATGCACTCTACTGCACAGCAGAGCACATACCACAGGAAGGCCCACAAACCAGGATTAATTACACTATAATTTCTCAATTACCAATTTTAGCTGAGCCCTCAACAATTTTTTTTCTCTATTGGACAGCTCTTTCTTTCATTTCCCTCACTATACCCCTGACCAAATTACTGTAAACCTTGATGAAACAGTAAGAGTTATTAATTTTTTTTAATTTCTACACTTGAATATGTATTTTTTTAATATTCTACATTGACAAAATGGAAAATATGCATAAAGCACTTCCCCACATATCAAAGAACAACAATAATCTGAAAAAAAGCAGTTGTGTGACTGAGCTGCAAGCTAAATAAACTACAAGGCTCTTTTCAAAGGACATCATTTTTACTTGAAGAATAACTAACAGAAAACTAAGGTTACACAGACTTGGGTATTTGACAGACATTTTCTCAAAAATGAACCAAGTGAACCTGTCATTTCAAGGAAAACAAAAGGTAGTGTTTGTTACCAGTGATAAAACTGTATCTGTTACACGATCTTAACAGCTTCCAATACTTGCAGTTCAATACTCTAATTTGTAAGACAGCTCACAAACACAAGAAAAGTTAAATAATGATATCATTTAAATAGAAAATAAACTATATTATGTTTGGAAATGCACAAGACAACACTTGATTAACTGTCTAAAGAACTGGACTGTCAAGAAATTGCCTATATACAAAATATGAGGAAAAAGAGAAATTTACTTGGGCAATAGCTGTCAAGAATGGCTCTATACAGGCATAAAATCCAAGTTGGGACTTGAAAAATTGGTAGGATTTAGATTTAAAAAAAAAAAAAAAAAGTGAGCAAGACATCCCAGGAAGTTTGCAATATATATATACATATTTTTTTTCTAAGAGAAATATTATTTTCAGGTATATTTTTAATAATGTATAATGTATTCATTCAAACTCTCAGGTAATATTATAAGATCCTTAAAGGGAGAGGCCACATATTACAATTCTCTGCTATCTGAGCACAGGATCAAATTTAACAACTTGAACTATTTGGTTGGAAAAATAAGATTTACACAGGGAAGAAGCAGAATAGTAATAATGGAAGTCCTAGGTTAAATCCCAGCTCTCATAATTACCTAGGTTGCCTTGGGTAATTTAGTAAAACTCACTGATTCAAACTCAAATACGCCTACTTTGAGGATCACCCTACAAACACCCTAACTAAAACAACCGCAGATAACTAATGATCAGAGATGAAATACAGACTTTGTGTTCCTGTTTTTATGCTGACCTTGTTATTTTTCATGTTATTTTCAAACAATTGATGCTATTTTTATTTTTCATTTGCCAAAAGGAATTTATATACACAAGGAAGAGGAAGATGGTACATATTGTATACTACTTATATATACTTATATACAATAAGTATACTACTTAATATACTATTGTATATTACTCAAAGAATTCTAGGTTGAGCACACTCCTGTTATCCCAGCACTTTGGGAAGCCGAGGTGGGTGGATCGCTTGAGCCCAGGAGTTGGAGACCAGCCTGGGCAACATGGTGACACCCTGTCTCTACAAAAAATTAGTTGGTCATGGTGGTGCATACCTATAGCCCCAGCTACTCTGCAGGTTGAGGTGGGAAGATCACCTGAGCCCAGGAGGTCAAGGCTCGAGTGAGCTATGATCGCACTACGGCACTGCAGGCTGGGTGACAGAGTGAGACCCTGTCTCAAAAGAAAAATAATAATAATAGTCTCTCTTTAGAATGTTTCAGTACAGCAGACAGATTTTCAAATATTTTCTGTATAATATACTGTTACCTAAATTATCGAAATTGAAGCCACAATAGCATTATAATATCAGATGTAATTCTAATTTATTCTTCTTCAGATATTCTAAAATAATGCATTCTTCCTCTTCCTATCTATTTACTTCACATTCCTCCAGCCACCATGACATTTATCTTCTCTTTTCTACAAATACACACATACATACACTCTTCCCCTCATTCCTACATCCTTATTGAGATAACTACAGCCACTAGAGGGCAATAAGTATACAAAGATAAATGTACTTATCTATGATGATGAACTTATCTATATGATTCACATAGTAATAAACCTAAAAAGTATATCATCACAAACCCTGAAACATAGGCAATTAGATTTGAATATGCAAGATATATATTTCAAACTCCAAAAATTATCCTGCACAGGTCACAGAAGCATATAACGATGTTCAAAAAAGGAATTCCATCTTCTCAATAAGCATTCATTTAAAAAAATTGGCCGAATTCCTTTACATGTGCATAGTAATATTAGAAATTAGGATTGCTTAATACCATCCTCAGACCAAAGAAGAAAAAGGGCAGAAAAAAAAAAAACACAGTAAGGTATAAATTACAGAGTGGGTAAAAAAGTGAGAAATGATTACTTCAAACTCTTCCACTACCACAATCGAGAAAACAATAAACTGAAGAGCAAAGAGGATTTACCAACCCTTTCTTCTATTGAAAAGCAAGCAAAAATTTTACGGGTATATTTTTGGGGGAGGAGAACAGTGATGGTAGAGATATACAAAGCCTTCAGTTCTTTTCTCACAATTAAGAACACGGAAGAGAAGTTAAGAGTTACCAATCTTTAAGAGGTAATTTTACCATTTTTAAAAAGAATACATTTAAATGAACTTATTTAGTTTATATTTACTTACACTGACATTACAAAACTGCAACACTTACATAAGGCTAACATTTTCAGCAAACCATAATTTTCTTACCCTCATTGGATGTATATCAGCATAAGGAGGTTTTCCTTCAGCCATTTCTATGGAAGTAATGCCGAGGGACCAGATGTCGGCCACACAGTTATAGCCTATTTCTTGAATCACCTCAGGAGCCATCCAAAATGGAGTTCCTATTACAGTATTGCGTTTTGCCATTGTATCCTGCAATAACGTTACATAGCCATAAATACTACTACAAAAGCACAAAGGAAATCTGTATGCCAAACATTCTTTTAAAAAATGTTGAAACCTCCAATGCCACAGATTATATCAGAAATTGACTATTTTGCTAAAATTTCAACTAGTTATGACATACTTAGGAATTTTGAATTCTGAAAATAACCAAGAGTCCACAGGTAACTTATCCCCACTACCGTCATTAAACACAGTCATTAAAGATAGTGCTATAATGATAAAAGCTACAGAAATGAGCTACGTAGCTTCCCTTTTAGAACATTTAAGCATTTCGATTACAAGATATATTTTCATATTCAATAAAAGCTACAGAAATGAGCTACGTAGCTTCCCTTTTAGAACATTTAAGCATTTCGATTACAAGATATATTTTCATATTCAATCACCCTAAATGATAAATTAAATAATACTCAAATTTGGCTCAATTATGGTTCTTTCTCCACAAAAATTAAAGTTACACATTTCTTTCCATTCCCCCTCAAAAAGTTATGGAAGTTTAGTTATAATCAAATCTGAACAAATTAGCCAAGTGTTTAGAAAATTATTAAAGTTAACTTACTGTTAACTGACCAGCCACTCCAAAATCTGCCAATTTTGCATGTCCTTCTGTATTGAGGAGAATATTTCCAGCTTTTATATCTCTGTGTATTTTTCTCATAAAATGCAAATATTCTAGTCCTTTCAATGTAGATTTAAGAATGGTTGCAATTTCATCTTCTGTTAACTGGAAAGAAATTTTTTTAAACCATAATTAAAATGCCATGTTAGATAAACTCTTACAAAAGAGCACTAGTAACAAGTATGTCTTTCTGTGTGTGTGTGTGCTTTTTTAAGAGACCCCAGTCTGTTGCCCAGGCTACAGTGCAGTGGTGTGGTGATAGCTCACTGCAGCCTCAAATTCCTGGGCTCAAGTCATGCTCCCACCTCAGCTTCCCAAGTAGCTAGAACTATAGGCACATGCCACCCCAACAGGTTAACTTATTTTTACTTTTGTAGAGATGGGGGGGGTCTCGCTATGTTGCCTGGGTTAGTCTTGAACTCCTTGCTTCAAACAATTCTCCTCCTCAGGAGGAGGAGAACAATTCTCAATTCAAACAATTCTCCTTCCTCAGCCTCCCAAAGTGCTGGGATTATAGGTGTGAGCCACCATGCCTAGCCACAAGTACTTCTTTCTAATGACCACTAAACCTCCAGGAAAATGCTAAAGGGGTAAATAATAGAGAACCTCTTCTTCCCACAATACGCTTTGTTACTCTTATTACACATTTTACTAATGAAAGGATCATTAAATTTCTCTCTTTAAGATTATCAGTATCAGCAGGGTGTGGTGGCTCACAGTTGTAATCCCAACACTTTGGGAGGCCGAGGCGAGCAGATCACTTGAGGTCAAGAGTTCGAAATCAGCCTGGCCCACATGGTGAAACCTTGTCTCTACTAAAAATACAAAAATTAGCCAGGCATGATGGCATGCACCTGTAATCCCAGCTACTCAAGAGGCTGAGGTAGGAGAGTCACTTGAACCCTCCCAGGTTCAAGTTCAAGGCAGAGGTTGCAGTGACCTGAGATCACATCATTGCACGCCAGCCTGGGCGACACAGTGAGACTTCATCTCAAAAAAAAAAAAAAAAAAAAGATTATCAGTGTCATCAGTATTCCTAAAGCAAACGACATATCTCAAGAATCAGCCTGATACAAGGAATCACTATTTTCCACATCTTCTAACACTGGGGAGAGGGGGGGCACTATCACAGCTAATATCTGTTCTGAAAAAGTAAATTCAGATACTTCCCCTGAGATATTTCAGATTCTTGATGAAAATGAAACCAACAGCTAAAGGAAAGTAAATGAGGGAGGGGGGCTTGAAATGAACCTTCTGCGAGAAGCTCCTACAACAATGCCACTCCTAACCCTTCCAAGTCCTGGACTTCTGACCTAATATTGAGAACTCAGAAGAAAAAAATGTCAGAGAAAGATTAGGAAAATGGAAACACAAGCAAAGGTTATCAGAGGAAGGAAAAAGGGGAGAGCACAGAATGCTAAGGAAGAGACGGATGGGGAAGAAAATCTTAACAGCTATAGCAGTAGAGCCACTGCTATCTGTACCAGGCAATGTGCTAAGAGTTTTGCATGCATTCTCTCATTTATTCTTAAAACAATCTTGTAAGGTAGTGTGACATTATGAAATCATAAGAAATATTTGGTCTTTGTAGGTTCTTGGCACAAAATCTCCTAAGACCCTATGAATTGACTGAGTGAGTGAGAAGTTGAATCAAGACATTTTATCTTTGTTTTCTCACCCCTCTCACAAGAGTGAGAGGGGATGTCTTTTGTCATTCATAATAAGCTCCTTTCAACCATATCAGAATTTATACTGATCAGGTGACTCGTGGTGGGAGCCTACTTAGCTTCAGGATGGGAGCTGGTTGCCAAAAAAACCAACCAAGTGCTTAGAAGTTTGGAAATTTCAGCCCAACCTCTGACTTACGGGAGGGCTGCAGGGAGAGAAGAGGTAGAGATTTAGTTAAGCACAAATGTCCAAAGACTTAATCAATCATGCCTACGTAATAGAACTAACCATAAAAACTCTAAATGATAGAGACTGCTCTCAAGCTTATATTCTATCTATAAGCAACGGGATAATTTGATAGAAAACAGGATAACACAGGAAAATGTCTGTGAAAATTGCTATGAGGACAATAATAGAGAGCTACTGATAGAGAATGACTGAGAAGCTACTTTAGACTGATATTCAAAAAGGCCCAAAAGACATTTTACTAAAGTCTAAATGATATAAGGGGGCCAGCCATGTGAATGGCTATCTGGGAACATATATTCCACAAAAAGGGGAGAAAAAAAAAAGATTAAAATATCTTGATTCAACTTCTCAAATTTTCTAAAACACTGAGTAAGAGAGAACACTTCCAAACTCATTTTAAGAGGCATTAGTCTGATACCAAAGCCAGACAAAGTCACTACAAAACAACTACAGACTAATATCCCTGATGAACATTGATAGAAAAATCCTCAACAAAATACAGCACACCCACTTCAACAGGCTCTTAAAAGGTTATACACCATGACCAACTGGAAAGTATTCCTGGAAGGCAAGAATGATTCAACATACAAACTCAAACAATGTAATACACCACCTTAACAGAATGGAGACGAAAACACATGATCATTTCAAATGAAAACAGAAAAAGCATTTGACTAAATTTAACTTTTCATAAAACACACAACTAATATGAATAGAAGGAAACTATCTCACCATAGTAAAAGCCATATATAAAAAACCCAAAGTAAACGTCATACTCAAAGCTGTAAGACTGAAAGCTTTTCCTCAAAGATCAGGAACAATGCAAGGATGCTATTAGGTTGGTGCAAAAGTAATGGCAAAAACCGTGGTTACTTTTGCACCAACCTAATACTTCTGTTCCACATAGTACTGGAGGTTCTAGCCAGAGCAATTAGGCAAGAAAACCAAATAAAGCCATCCAAACTGGAAAAAAATAAGTAAAACTATCTCTGTTCACAGATGATACGATCATACATGTAGAAAATTCTAAAGCTTCCACAAAAAAACCTATTAGAAGTAATAAATAAATTCAACAAAGCAGCAGTATACAAAAATCAACCCATGAAAATCAGTTATATTTTTATACATTACCAATGAGCAATCTGAAAAGGAAATTACAAAAAAAAATCTGTTTACAATAGAAATAGAATTTCTTCATTTTAAAGAATAAAATACTTAGGAATTAATTTCATCAACGAGGTGAAATATCTGTACAATGAAAACTACAAAACACTGCTGAAAAAACAAATTTAAGACATTAATAAACAAAAACCTATCATAACTTCATAGATAAGAAAATTTAATGTTTTTAAGATGCCCATGCTACCCAAAGCAACCTACAGATTCAACACAATCCCTACCAAAATCCCAGTGATGTTTATTGCAGAAATAGAAAAACTTATCCTAAAATTTGTATGAAATCTCAAGGGGCCCCAAATAGCCAAAACAATACTGAAAATAGAAGAACAAAGCTATAAGTCTCATAGTTCCTGATTTCAAAACTTATTACAAAGCTATTGTAATCAAAACAATGTGGCACTGGCATAAACACAGACAGACAGATGGATGGAACAGAGTAGAAAACCCAGAAATAACCCTTGTATACATAATCAAATTATTTTCAACAAGAGTGTCAAGAACATTCAACAGGAAATGAATAGTATTTTCAACAAACAGTACTGGCACAACTGGATACCCATGTGCTAAAGAATAAGTTGAACCCTTACCTAGCACTATACACAAAAATTAATTGAAAATGGATCAAAGACCTAAACATAAGACCTAAAACTATGCTACTCTTGGGAAAAAATAAAACAGGGCAAAAACCTCAGAATACCAGATTTGGCAATGGTTTATCAGATACAACCAAAAAGGCGCAGAGAACACAAGAATAAAACAGGCAAATTGGACTTCATGAAAATTAAAAAAAAATAAAAACAACGCGCATCCAAAGACAGTATCAACAGAGTAAAAAGACAACCCACAGAATGGGAGAAAATATTTACAAATTACATATCTGGTAAGACATTAACATACAGAATATAACATACAGACCTCCTAAAACTTAACAATAAAAAAATCAAATTCAAAAATGGGTAAAGGACTTGTATAGATATTTCTCCAAAGATATACAAATGGCCAAGAGGCAAGTGGAAAGATCCTCAACATCACTAATCATAAGAGAAATGTGAATCAAAAACATAATGAGATACCACTTCACACCCATTATGATGGCTACTATCAAAAGACAGAAAAGAACAAATGTTGGCGAAGTAGCAGAGAAACTGGAACCTTTGTGTATAGCTAATGGGAATGTAAAATGGTGTGGAAAACAGTATAAAGATTCCTTTAAAAGTTAAACATAAAATTACCTTATGACCCAGCAATTTCACTTTTGGGTAAATACTCAAAAGAACTAAATGCAGGGTCTCAAAGAGGTATTTTTGAACAAGTTTCACCTCTTAATGAGTGTACACCCATGTTCATAGCAGCAACATCCACAATGGCTAAAGAAGTGGAAGCAACCCAAATGTCATCTGACAGACAAATGAATAAGTAAAATGTGGTAGAAACATACAATTGAATTTTATACAGCTTTAAAAGGGAAGGCAGTTCTGCAATATGCTACAACATGGCTGAAGCTTGAGTACATTACGCTAAATGAAGTCAGTCACAAAAAAGACAAGTAATGTATGATCCTGCTTATATGAAATACTCAGAGTTACCAAAATCATAGAGATAGACAGTAGAACAGTGGTTACCAGGGGCTGAAGTAGCAGAGAATGGAGAGTTAGTGCTTAATGGGTACAGAGTTTCAGTCTTACAAGATGAAAAGAGGGGGATGGATAATGCGGATAATTGCACAACTTTATAAATGTATTTAATGCCACTGAACTGCATACTTAAAAATGGCTAACAGGGCAAATTTTGTTTATGTGTATCTTGGCACAATAAAAGTAAAACCGAGGGGGGGAAATGTCTTGATTCAAGAAAAAGCTCACCATATTTGAGTTGAATAAAGAAGGCTGAAGTTTAATGCACCAGGAGAAGACTAGCTCTAGATGAGATCTGAGAGACAGGCAAGGACCAGATCATATAAGGCTTTACTGGCCATAGAAAAGGAGTCTAGATTACCTGAAAATTCTGGT